CTATCTATATATATATATATATATATATATATATATATATCTATATATATGTATATATATATATATATATATCTATATATATATATATATATATAGATATATATATATATATGTATATATGTATCTATATATGTATATCTGTATATATATATATATATATATACACGTATATATATGTATGCGTACAGACGCATGGATGTTCTCCGAGATAGACACGCCCTGGGCCGGCGACGGCCGCGGAGTCGTCCTGCAGCGCATCTTTGCCGCCGACGGCACCCTGCTCGCCACCTGCGTCCAGGAGGGTCTCGTGCGACTGACGCAGGAGGATGTTGACGGCGCGGCGCGCGAGGGTGGGGCCACGGCCAAGGACGCGGGCAAGGCAAAGCTGTGATGACGAGGAAAGGAGAGAGCGGGACTTCTTGATCTTGTCGTTTTGATACGGACGCCTACTTTGCTGTAATACCAGCGTGTGTGTTTTCCCACCCCATCTTTGCTTCGTCTCCTGATTCCCCCTTCCATATCTCTGGCTGCCCTCTTCCGTAGCGAGTCAGGCAGCGCATTGTCCAGTAGCTTTCCTCTACTTTTGCGTTCAAGATGTCACTGCCCCCAACACCGACAAATGCATTCGGCGGGTTTTGAGCCACTGGATTCCAATGCTCAGCGCGCCTGACCATGACCTGATCGAGCCGAGGGGCGACTTGCAAAGCGAGCACTGATGATGCGTCATTTGAAGTTTCTTCCATTCCGGTGGATTGTCTAGTCGTCCTCGCGACTACTAATCGCCCCAGAATTATGCCGAGACGCCGTCTCTGTACCGAGCCATCGACGGCTGGTCGCGCCCACCAAAGCCCTGCGGACACTTTCGCGTCCAAACTGCACAGCAATGCCTTCCTTGCTGCTTCTCGCTCGCAAAGAGCACTTTGCACACAGATTGCTTGACGGCGTGTGCATCCAAGGTGGGGCCTGAGCCTTCATGCACTCATACAGCTCCTTGTCGTGGATCTCAGCGTCCGGCGGGCGAGTCTGGCCTGATCTGATGATACAGGAAAGCCTCCGGCCCGGGAGATGTTGTCGGGTGTTGATCGTCGCCAAGCTTTGTCACAAAGAAGCAAAATGTTCCAGAGCTACTGACCGACGAGGCATCTTGAGCGCCCGGCGGAGCCTTGGCCCAATTTGCAGCGGTCGAGGCCATTTTTAACCTTCCTGCCGCGTAACGATGCAGTCTGGTGGTGATGTCACACCCTGTGGACGGCCAGCTGGCAATATCCGTCACCGGACCCGAGCTGGTGGTTCCAGTTCAATAAGCTGAACGAGCTAGGAAGCCTGTCAATCACCGGGTAATGGCAAGGATGCCATGGCGTCTCTGTTTTTCTCAGCGGCGCCGTGGGGGTTCCGCTTGTCAGGAGGTTCGCCGCGGGCGGCACCTCTACGATCCCGCAGCATCGCGCGAGCGCGAGCGCGAGCGAGACCGGGGGTAGCAGGGACGCACTCTAGTACGAGGTGCGGGTGGACGGGAGATCTGAAGTCCGCAAACTTTCTGTCGTGGCTTGCGGCACGCCTTCTTGGTGTGCAGGTCCAGGCATGTACCTGCACCGAAAGACCGTTACGCTTGGACGTCATGCCTCGGATTAGAGGTGGAGACGGTGGAGTTTGGACATAGGAGCGTGGTCCGCCCGAACGATCCAAGATGCCTGGCGCAGTTACTGTTGGCTCGACTTGACGTAAAGGCCGAGAGTCCGTTTCGGGCCACGCAGCCTTGTTTGTTGCCGTCAAAATTCGATGGGCGGCCGGCGGCTTTTCCACGGGCTGCGGATCCCCACACACAAGCTCTCCAAAGTTTGACAAGATATGACAAAATAATTTCAAATCGTCCATCTGCCGTTCCGAATCTCTCCATGAAAACAGATCATGGGGTGCATTTCCGTGATCTCGTGCACTTATGCCGTGGGTTATGGCCTGCATGAGATCGCCCGGTACCCTTGATGCACAAAAAAAAAAAAACATTAAAGTAATGTCCGTGGTTGCGGGCGCTGCCGAGAGAAGTCCGCTGACTAAAAGAGAGCAACAACGAGTGGAAAGTTCCGAAACATGGAGACCATGCTTGTTATTCCATACTGGATCGTATGTCGTGTACGGTCGAAGGGCGTGATCAGGCTTGTTTGACCTTTGTTCGATGTTGGCTTGCCCAAGTTTGCCATCCATGGAAGGATCGGGCCACGCCACCGCTCGCAATTTTGGGTTCTCGAAGATGGGCTGGCTTCGACAATGGCTCGCTGTGTCATCCTCGTTAGCGTGCTGCTTGACGGTGGATAGGAGCGTGAATATCAGGCAATGGACCATCACCATGCACACGGCACTTGGAGCCGTGTAGTGGGGGGCAGCTCGAGTAGCTAGTGGTCGATCCTACCAGAAGCCTGGTAGGGCCAAGGCACCAGAGACTAGCAACGAAATCGATTCGCTCATCCGGGTCGGTATCGGTAGTTTTTGTTGCCGACATGCAATGGCCGTCGCCGGCTTTCTTGCATCGCGATTTCACCGACTGAACAGCGAGCATCAACTCGGCGTCGACGACATGGAGGAGGTCCGAGGCCAGCTCGCTGCGGGACAAGCTTTGAGCCGCTTCTTGGTACATGTGTACCATGTATGCCCATGTCCATATTCGCTACAAGTGCCGGTGGCCCCCGCCAGAAACAAGCTCGTGACGGGGATGTGTAATAGCACTGGCAAAGTCAACTTGAGCACTGGGGTCCCATCGCGCCACGACGGCCGCAGGCAGTGTCTGGGCAGTGCCCTCGAGATGAAATCTTGCCTGATCTGATATCCCCTATTGCAACCTTGCAACCGCGCGGCCAGCTAGGTTTGTTTGGTGGTGTTCGAGATGTCTCCCCCCCGCGCCGGGGTCAACCCTTGGCAGAGTTTGGAACCCCGGTGGTGATCTTTTGCACAAGCTGCAACTGCAGAAGTAAACTTGGGGTTTTGCCGTGCCAGTAAGAAGTAGTTCTTTCGAACAAAGGGAAGGCAAAGCGGGAATTGACGAATATCGTCGTACTGTGGCCAGTTGATCCAGGTAACAAGGGCATGATGGGGAAAGCAGGCACACAGCACCGGAGAGCGGCACAGGTGGACCTGGCACCACTTTCCGAAACCGAGTTGTAAGTGGCTGAGCTTAATTGATTGATTGTATGATTGCCTGCTGCCTACTTGTACCTACCTTACCTTACGTAGGTAACTAGGCAAGGCAGGTACCTAGGTAAGGGAAGGAGGATGGGAGGGAAAGAGGTACCCAGAGAGATACATGGCTCGGTCCTCGGACTCGGATTCGCGTTGCGCCGCTCGTCTGCCAACCATGGCCATGGCCCTATCGCGCGCGCGAAGCCAGCCCTGGATAGCTCCTGCCCAGCCATGACGAGGACGAAGGCTATCCTGGCGGGCAGCAGCGCCCGACCCGCGCGCCTGATCAGTCGCAGGTGCCCAAAACGGAACTGGGACGGCCAAAGAAGAAGTCGCGTCAAACCTGTTCAGGTAAGACATGTCGCCCAGCATTTTCGACTCGCGCCTTGCATCTTGGGGAGCGGGGGCACATTTCTTCTGCTTCATCATCCTCATGCCACTTCTGAATGTACAGCGCTTCGCCACATCAGCTACAGCATGCGTTCATCCCTATGCGTCGCTATGCATCTGTATCTATTTGACGGCGCCCATCTACATGACTCGCCTTGGGCCAACTTGGCAACCGATCGATCTCTGATCACGACCCAGCAGCTTCAGAGCCCCCCCACCAGGCCCCCCTTCTCTTCAGTCAAGACTCAACTGCTGCTCGAAGCGTTCAGCATTCTCAGCGTCCGAGCAAAACACCATGGACCCACGGAGAATAGAGGCATCGCCCCGGTGCTGGTGTTATAGCAGCTTCACACGCCTGTCTCACACGCAGCATCTGGGTTACATCAGAGTCAAATAGACTTTCCACCACTCGTCCCACTCCACCTCGTCGTCGCCCTTGGCCTCTTCCGGGCGCGATCGACCAAATAACTTGTGCCCTCTGCTTTCGTTGTTACTGACCATCACTCAACCGTCAGATGAGCAGCACCACCGTGCGTGCATGGGTCTGTAACAACTTCGTTCGGGACACCTGTCTGGACAACCTGGAAGGCCCTTTGGGGCGGCTTACGACAGCGCGAGGGTGAGCGTGCATTCACCATTCGTCGCTCAGTACGCCGCGTCCGCTGTCACCAGCGCCACCAGGTGCCCAAGGTACTATGTAGACCAGCATAACTGTGCCCATGCTTCATTGTCAGCCTTACCGCCTTCTCACGAAGAATCGCACGAAGAAGGATTGTACCATGCGCCGCAGACCAGACCCTGCGTCGTGCCTTTGCTGGCATTTCCCCCATCATGGGCCATCCATGGACCGTCCATGGGGCCAGCCATGGGCCAGCCATTCGTATGGACCAAGGAGGAGGGTACATGGAAATTGAGGCGACGCAGCATCAGTCCTGACAAGGGCGCCGAGGCTGTCGGCGCCGACTGATGATTCATCCTGCATAGGCTCGGCCTCCGTCTTGCACCGTTGCCGGCCGCCCTGTATCATCTTTGTTGTCTTGAAATCGACAGGGGGGGGCTGGTGGCAGCGGCACAACTGCTGTCAGTCTAGGCGGCTGGCTTGTTGTTTCGCTGTTGCTTTCCCAGTGGAACAGGACATCAAGCTTCGGGCTCCAGGCGTCTGCGCTTCGTGGTCGTCATACTCCGTCACACACCGCACGGGGTTCGCGATCAAACCGGCCGCCGTCTTCAGTGCCGCGTTTCCGCCTCGCAAGGAGCAAGTCGGGCATGTACAGACAGGCCAGGTGGCCGATCCCACACAGCCTACGCTTCTTCACATGGACTTTGCCCATGGTGCCCCTTGTGCGATGCATCTCGATTACGAGCTACCCTTGATTGCTGAATTCAAGCTCGGCGACTTTGGGGGAGTACAGGCGTTGCATCTCACGTTATGCTTCCAAGACACCTGTCGTCGCTCACGCGCCTGCCACGACAGCACCACCTAAGGCAGCCCGCTGACACTCCACAAATCTAGTCTGGGGCGCTCACGCACAATTGACGAAAGAGCTTCCGTGCAGCATCCTGCCCAAATGAAGCCCACAGAGCGAGTGAAGGAAACCCCCGAATCAAGAAAGGGGGAGCCAGCAGTCTTCAGTGCGCGAAGGCGCCTCGGAGCTTTTCGAAGCAACACCCCGTATGTGGGCCTCGAATTGGCCATGCCCTGGCTTACACCGTCAGACTCATCAGGACCATCGGGGACTTCGCAACCCCCGATGTACCTCGGAGTACCCCCTCAGCCCAACGTCAACCCTGTCCTTCCCGCACATCAACGACAGTCATGTCATGGTACCATGCGCCCTAAGATCCTCCGTCCCTCTTTTCTCCCCCCTCTGGATACCAGAAGGGCAGGCTGCTAGGTACAGTAGTCACCGAGAGATGATGAGACCCCGATTGTTGATGTCCCTGCGCACACAGCCCGTCATGCTGTTCTCATGGACTGGGACGGCCTAACCTTGCCAATATAAGATGCTCGTAGGCAACCCACTGCCGGGTCAGATTGATGCTTCTGGTATTTTACACACCTATTCCTCCTCACCAACACACATTGGTGTCCTGTCAGAACACTACTCCCCGTCCTGTACGCCTATCATCCCCAGTTCAACTCCCACGGCTACTCAAGATCTCCGCGCCACCTGCGATATCATCAGAAAATTGAGCTTCTCCCACTAATTTTGACGGGAAACGCTGTTCGAGGAAGAAAGTCCAAGGAAGGACGACAGCTCAACGAGCCTCATCTCGCCTCAACGCCCAAAAACTACTACGATTGCACAGCTGCACGTAGACTGCCCAGCTTAAAGCAGTAATAACGGTCATCACCAGCGCCAGAATCGCAGACTATCCTACACTTTTCAGCCATACACCCCACTTAACCAGTTCCACCGCGGACTTCGTTCAGGGACCAGACGGCGACCTGTTAGCGACCGTGGTGTGCTGTGTCCATTCCGTCTCCGGCGTCTTTCGGACATAACAGGGCCCTATCACCATTTTTGTCTTGCAGCAGACCAGTATCAGTGTCTGAACTCAAAAAAAGGCTCCGACACTATCACATAATCTGGTGTCCTTTTACCGTCCGCTCGAAGTCCCCCCTTTTCCTCATCTGTTATTAATAATCGGCCGAGTCATTCAAGTCCGCACCCCCCTTCGTACACCCCCCCCCCCTGCTCAGCTCCACGGCACACCTCACATGCCTGGCTGTCATATCCCTGTCATCTTCTGTTGTGCTGAGCAAGCACCATAGTGTTGGCCCTTCACATTTCTGATCGAGTACTTGACTTACACTGATCCCCCTCCTCCACGATCCGGCTTCCTCCACACTTTCCTCATCTTGGCTTAACGTTCCTACTTTCCGTCGACGACAGAAACCCTCACTTCCCAAAGCACATATACCTTAAGCCTTCTGGTATCTGCCTAGACACAACATGGGTGGTGGTCTCCCTTCTCCTCCGCTGGAGGACAACAAGTCCCAAGGCTCAAGGAAAGGCTCATCGAGCTCCAAGTCGATCAAGCCCAACCGTCACACGTCAAAACGTGCCAGCCCACACAATGCCACTGCGCATCATGATCATGCCGCTCACGGCATGGCTGACGGACGCCACAAGAGGGTATGGGAAAGCTTGTGAGAGGTGCAGAATGAA